GAACAATCACTCTCGGTCATCCTCTTCAACAAATGAAAGCAGAAAAGTAATAAAGTTAAATGAGCCATGACACCAGACATGGAAGTTGATCTCAGAATGATCAGAATGATCATAATGACCATAACTAATATTTTTCTTTGATGTTTCCTCAAATACTAAGCTACACTGGCTAAAAACTTCATCAGTGTTTTATGCACACACATTGCAGTTGTCACTGACAGATTTATCTGAAACAGACAGTGGAAAATGGTAATGTTGTCCATGAAACTAACTCAAACCTATTGGCAATAGTTCTTCACGTACTTGACCACCACTCTTCATTAGGAAGTTGCTACGAGAATGGGCATTATGTATTCTACTAACGTCAAGCGATACAAGCATTACTCAGTGTAAATCGTAATTAAATGACTGTTAGGGTGAGTGAATGGATTAAGATTAACCAAAGTGTGTCAGCAATAGTGTGTGGAAGGTTTAAATAAGAGCGACAGTACTTGTTCCACATCCATAAGAAATTATAGTATGTAAGTCTTGTGAACTTACAAGGCTAAGTTTCTTCTTGAACTATATATTCCAATGTTTGACAGTTTTTGATAAAGAAATACTTTAAGAACTTACTAACTACAAAATAAGTTGAATCTTACTGAACAGTCTTCCACTAATGAATACCTTGAGCTTCTTGAAACGTTTTCTGATCAACTTATCAAAGCCGAGAAGGTCATGCTCAGCATGATACAGCTTTTGAATTGAAAAACCATAGAGTTCTTCTTCTGTCTGTTCTGATATATACCAAGGACGAAAGGTGGTCAACCTGACAACTTCTACATCCCTTGACAAGTAACAATACAGACTGGACACCTGCATCTTCTCACCATGAAATCTGTGACACAGGTTTAAAAGAAAACTACTCTCAATGGACTTGGAGTTCAAATATAAATTCTGCAAAGACAATTTGTTGGGAACAATTATTCTGTATCTTGCTTAGTTTGATGATCAACTTTTGCAAATGCTCAAATGCAGTAGATCTTATATTTTCATTCACATGGATGTATCAGGAAAGGCAGCATTGTTTTATTTCTGAGTACAGTCATGGATTCAAAGAATAACTTTGTTTCTGCTCTGAAGGTTTTGTTGTAGTCATTACAAATCTCTTTAGAACGGTTTGTGTGGTTAAGTAGCAGAGATTAAGTGCCAAAACATGGTATTCTTTGATGCCTGAAGCACATTCCATGTTAAAACAGTACATGTGGGGATGACATCAAAGGATTCATAAAAACTTGTCTTTATGGTTGTCGTTTGATGGGAAACTATGGCCAACTTGGTTGATGGTCAGAAATCGGTTAAAATGAGACCGCCTCAGTGGTGTAGTGGTTAGAGCGTCCGCCCAGAGAGCAGAAGGTTGCGGGTTCGATCCCCGGCCGCGTCATACCAAAAGACGTTAAAATATGGTACTTGTTGGTCCTTGCCTGGCGCTCGGCATTAATGGGTACAACAAGGACTGGTTGGCTCGGAGTCAGTATAATGTGTCTGAGTGGGGTATTCATGCTTGACTGCGGCATGGTATCTCAGTGGGCTTGCACTATAAAACCAGCTTCAGTCTGGGCTAGTACAAGCAGCCGCACATACACATACACATACACATACACATGCATGCACATCGTCATATGAGCGAAATATTCTCAAGCACGACGTTAAACCCAATTTCACCTCACCTCATCTGTTAAAATGAGAGGCAGCTGAATAATCCTGACTCTGTCATAAGCATATGTTTTCAAACCAGAAATTAACCACTATCAACAGGTGAGCTTGTTCTGCTGTGCTGATTGAACCTGGTACAAACACTTGCAAAGGCAAGTCAATTTTTCACCTGGATAAAAAAGGAACATGTTACACAAGTCAACCTGAGGAATTGCATCCGACATGGAAGCATGGTGTGAATTTGACATGTTATGTGATCAGACATCTGTACTCTTGGGATAGGTGACCATATATGGTGATAGAGAGAGTCATTAATGCCATCTTGCAGTCACACCTTCACAGCACTTTCCATGTATCCTTATGTTTATGTTGTTGTCCACAGTGACCATTTAGTGAAATGACCTTCAGCATAAACCAGGATTATGTAAGACTTAATTAATCATGGTATATGCTTCTCTGTGTCTAGAAAATTAACTGAGAACTCTGATTAGCACATTCATTTACACTTTCATAGAGTTTACATAGTTGTTTCACTTAATGAATGAGTGAGTATGGTTTTACGCCACTTTTAGCAATATTCCAGCAATATTCAAGCAATATCATGGCGGGGGGACACCAGAAATGGGCTTCACCCAATGTACCCATGTGGGGAATTGAACCCAGGTCTTTGGCGTGACGAGCGGATGCTTTAACCACTAGGCTACCCCAACGCCCCACTTAATGGATGACCTTTTGTATATTTTGCCAAAGTTATATTTTAGTTTTGTTATTGATTGAAAATATGCTTGTATATAAAATTTCATTCTTGTTCATAACTTTTATTCAAGAAAGTCTATTTTATTTTAATCACATATCAACTCCTTCATACCAACAGTATTAAACATTTTTTGCCTCCTTGGTATTGTGGTATTGACAAATAAAATTGTGAAACATGAAATTAAAGGTCAAGGTCCAACATATTATTCAAATAATATCATTTCAGGACTACTGTAGTCATTATAATATGCACCCAGGGGACTTTAGAAAGAAGAGGGGCGGTGGGGTAGCCTAGTGGTTAAAGCGTTGGCTCGTCACGCCGAAGACCCGGGTTCGAATCCCCACAAGGGTACAATGTGTGAAGCCCATTTCTGGTGTTCCCCGCCGTGATGTTGCTGGAATATTGCTAAAAGCGGTGTAAATCCAAACTCAGTCAGTCAGTAGAAAGAAGATGTGTCAAATAAAACTATGCACAAATTACGTTTGTCTTTCAAGATCAAACCTCAGTGAACAAATATCAGATGCAGATGAAATGAAATAGTTACAAGGTTTCTTTTGTTTCTGCACTGCTGTATTCTTTAAAAATATATAATATACAGACAAGAAAATAGAAAGAGCTGATTAAATTTTCAGTCATATTATAGGGGTGTTTTTAAATATTATAAATTAGTCTGGAAGCTTGTCTGTGGGCTTTTATTCAAACAGGGTACTTATGTGGAATATGATATGTGTATTGCTATGGTGCATGTCAAGAAATAAATCTGTTGCTGTTCACTAATATGATATTGTGGAATTAAAGATGGCTTGTAAATGGTATGCATTATGTATCTTGCATATTTTTAACTGGTGTGTTTGCTCATCACGCCGAAGGCCAAGGTTTGATTCCTAACATGGGTACAATATGTGTCATTTATGGTGTCTCCCGCTGCCTTATTGCTGGAATATTGCTAAAATTGACTTAAAACTTCACTCACTCACTCACAGTTTGTGCTGTTTATCTCCATGCCAGTGAGGCCTAGACTTCTAAGAGATAAAGAGGTGTTTGCTTTTCCCATGAATATCAGAAGGGATGCATTCTAAACCTGGTTTGAAGGATCCAGCTTATTATTTGTCAGCACAAGTTATGTCTGTTGTAGTGGTACAGGTGTTACATGAGGAGAGCACAGGTCTCAAATCAGTTTATGATTAGTAATTTTGGTCACAGAGAGTAGTTGGAAGGCATTCTGAGAGTCTCCAGGACTTTGGTCTTGCCTAATGCTGGAGCATGTAGTGCACTCCTTAAGGGGTATTCATGCTTCACTGCGGTATGGTATCTCAGTGGGCTAGCACTATAAAACCAGCTTAAGTCTGGGCTAGTACAAGCAGCCGCATATACACATACACACGCATGCACGTTGTCATATGAGCGAAATATTCTCAAGCACGATGTAAAACCCAATTTCACCTCACCTCACCTCACTTAAGGAAGTGACTTTGTTCAAGATATGCCTCTCTTCATCTAGTACTGAATGGTACCAGGTAGGATGAGACCTCAACGGGACTGGTTAACCTTTTACCACCACACAGGCAGCTGAGAATGAAATTAGTGTTTACACTGATCGTTTGACCAGACTAATTATGTAACTTCTTAAACATAGTGTGTGTGTGTGCACATGTCTGTGTGTACATGCATGTGTGCATCTGTGCATCATAAAGGTCATGACAGAAAGTAAAACATGGTTGGTATCAATCTCTGACCTACTACACCTGTGACTAAAATACCTGCTGACAAATATTAAGTACTGTCGCTTGTGTGGTAACTGTTAGGGTAGTAGGCATCTCATAGTGTGTGAACTCTTTGGTCATGCTGATGGTACTGGGTTTGATTCCTCACATGGCTGTAACGATGCATCGAACTGTTGATGGATTGCAACTGTTGAGTCTCCGATAGCAATTAATCGATGGTAGAAACTAATAACTGTCGATGCATCGATAGTATGCATGACTATCGATAGTTTAGTAATTGACTTCCATTGATACATGTACCAGCAGGAAGTGGAAGTACCAGATTCGTTCACTTTGATTTAGAGTTATCTGCCCCTGTTACCTCTTAAACAAACTTGATCTGGGTTTCAAGCTTCTTGTCAGTCATTAAAGAGACTGAAACTACTTCATCTTTATTTTATTTCATATAAACTATAGGCTACATTCATTTGGGAAATGACTTCAATTTGGGAAATGAGACAATTCAAGGAGAAAAAAAGTTGGCCGCAATAGACTATCGCTATCGCAATGGTATGTTGCAATAGACTATCGCTATCACAATAATTGTTTCCCCCTCAATAGTCACCCCTAACAATTTGCGAAACCCATTTCTGGTGCACCTGCTGCTTAATATAAAATCTTATGTAATGCTTGAGTATTGGAAAAGATGGTTTAGAACAGTATTATAACAAAAGAAATCTGTAGTTATCTTACTTCCTAAACTTTCATGAACAGTAGGTCCTTCAGTCCCTGTTCCAATAATAATCAGTGTCACTGTTCCTACAATAATCAGTGTCACTGTTCCTACAATAATCAGAGTCACTGTTCCAAGTCAGTTTCTCATTCTGTTTTCCAGCTAAAGTCTGTGTTCTTTGAACACAAAATATAAACATGCACCGGGTGCAAGTTGATATACATAAGAGGTTGCATTTAGCAGGTTCAGGTTGCTCCAGTGCAAATTCTAAATGCTTAAATCGAGCCCTGTATACTGGGTTTGATTCTTGACATGGGTACAATTTGCGAAACCCATTTCTGGTGCCTGATGCCATATTAATACCAAAACATTGCTGGAAGCAGCATCAAACACTCTCAATGTTAATTGTCTTATGATGAATAAAATATGCCCTGTTTTTGTGTTTTTGCTATTAATCGAATCAAAGTGACCTATTAAATCCATTTGATAATGTAATTCAATCTTCATTTAGTTATGCCCAAAGAATTCATCTCATAAAGATTAAACAATTCTTGAAATAAACATTCCATGACATTGGTCAGTTGTCATTTGAGATGATGAATTTGTTCCTTCTGGAAGAAAATGGAATTACAATTAGTATCAAAAGTCAAGCATCAATACCCCGTTCTTTTGCCATGTTTGACATCACAAAGTTTGATTTTATTTCATTTTGTAGCATTAAATATCACCATGGATATATCACGATTCCTAAAACCAGAAAAGCCACACTGATCTTGCTTCAGAACAATCAATCCTTCCTTTGGAGAAGCACATGTTGTCACAAGCTTGGCGCTACTACTTTTTGGAAACATCAAACCTAATGTTAATGCCAGTAAAAAATAATTTGAACAAATATGCATGCTGAAATCTAAAGCCTGTATTTGAACAATTAACACAATATTCAATATTTACCAAAAAATCATGACCACTGTCCAGTATGTTAATGCCAGTTAAAAATAATTCTGACAAATATGCATGATGTTATAAAAAAGTTATCTGAACAGTTAACACAATATTCCTGTTATAAAAATGCCATGATTATACTTCAATATTTCTGGCTAAGCCTTTGCATTGTTGTGCTTGCACAAAGCTTGACATGCAGAGATTGTTTTACGATATTTGTGAAGCAATGTTTCTGTTTCATTTGCCTTTGGTATGTATCTTTATTAGTGGTGTTATGATGATAATTTTTTTTTCGAAAATCAATTGAAAGAATGATTAAAAATGATTATCGATTGTAAAAAAATATATTTTTGATTAATTGAAATTTTGTAACACCCTTGAATTAAGTATACTAACCATTTAATTTAATGAATATTCACGAACAAACATGCTGTCAACAGCGTAATGCTATGTGCATTGTAAAATTTTAACCACTTTTATTGTTTAATTACAATTCCAGTGTCTTACTTTCGTTGCATGACAGTATTACTTATAAAAAAGACATTAATGAGAAAAAACCTGGGAAAAACCCTTAAAATTGGTGATTACATTAAAAATGTATATATTTCAATTATAATTGATAATCGTTCACCACAAGTGAATTTGATTTCCGATTCCCAACACTAATCTTTATGAAACATCTCCCGAGAATAACTGTTCCCAATTATCCAAAGCAGATTCCAGTGAATGCTTATGAAATAAGATGCTTACATCTCAGCGTGGAGAATGAGTAACGGTCATTTTCGTCTGACATGCTGCATAGAACGGTAAATTACAGCCTGGACCAAGATACCTAGTGGTTGATAGTGCAAACAGTTTACCAATGTCAGTCAACCAAATCTCTAAGACTGATCCATTTAGAAGTAATAAGCTAGGGACTTCCTTCAGCCAGGCTCCCTGTGTCCCAGACACTGTCATGCAACTGAAATTTGTTCCGAGCTTTATAAGATAAGATAAGAATATTCTTTTTTGCCCGTGAGGGAATCTGTCTTACATCTGAGTGAGCATAAATACATTTACATCAAATAAATACATAAAAACCTGATCATAATTACATACAAATGTACAAAAGCATGATAAGGGAGAGCATTAACGGTTATTCAACAAAGAAATTGATAATGGTACAAAAGACATTCTATAACGCTTGGATTTGCACGTAGATACATTATACTGACGGCGAGAGGGGAAAAGTTCACAACATTCATGTAAAACATGAGGGATCTGTAATGATCTCTGTAGCTAAATTTAGAGTCTTTCCTCCATGAAGTTCATGTATTCTCTTAAAGATGTGATTACTAATTTTCTGTCCTTGTTTTATAATCTTGTTTAGTTTGTTTTTATTACCGAGTGAAAGGGAGCTGCACCAACACTGATTAAAGAACAGGAGGATGGATTGTACACAAGGTTTATAGAAAAGTTCCCAAAAAGTTGAGTCAATGTGAAAAGGATTTACTGACATGGATTTACTGGATGCAATGTGCTGTATCCTATATTCCTTAAAACAGATTGAAAGTATTGTTCTGTGAAAGCATCTGTTTATGTATTTATGGATTCCGTGGTTTTGTTGGAAGCAGGTGGAGATGCTTCCAGCTCTAGTTGAATGATTCCATATCATCTGTACAATGGAAGAGAAGAAAATCACATATGAACTGATCAGGTTCTTCTGAGAGCAATTAAAAGCACTTCAAAGGTATTGGACAAGCTTAAGGCACTAAAAGGCCTTTACGAAAAAATGTTTAAAGAGATGTGGATGTTGAGTTGATGCAAGTTGGTGTGACCCTGCTATGTCTGAAAGTGGGATCTGATTGTGCAGTGGATATTGATAATTCCGTATGATAGTCGTCACCTTCTCATGCGTGTGATCAGTGTGTGATTGACGTAGGAACCAGCTGCCGTCTGGTGAGGGTGATTACAGCCAGGTGAACTCACTCGGCTAATCATTTACCGTATTTATAGTAATCTGTGTTGTTGGGCAGGCCAGTTGTGGGTGTCTTGATGAGCGGGTCACAGAGGATGCTAGACAAATGATAATCACATATGAGGATAAGCTGTGTGGATGAATAACTTCTTTGTCTAGGATCGACATTTCAGCGTAGGTTCTTTCAGCGTAGGTATTATTAGTCAAGTTGCTGCTTGCTTCATTACTGTGTTAGAACCTACCCCTAAATCTTGTTTCTGATTGTAATTGTGGCGGTGGGGTAGCCTAGTGGTTAAAATGTCCGTTCGTCATGCTGAAGACCCGGGTTCGATTTCCCACATGTGTACAATGTGTGAAGTCCATTTCTGGTGTCCCCCATTGTGAAATTGCCGGAATATTGTATTGCTAAAAGTGGTGTAAAACCTCACTCACTCACTCACTCACTCACTCATTACTCACTCTCTCTCTCTCTCTCACTCACTCACTCACTCACTCACTCACTCACTCACTCACTCACTCTCACTCACACTCACCTCACTCACTCACTCATTACTCACTCTCTCACTCACTCTAATTGTAATAAAGACGTTCATCCACATATCTTTGTGTTCCAAGTTCAGAATGCCTCTGAGTGGAGTTACTGACATGCCCTTTTCTTCCCTTCGGGTACTATTTGTGAGGTTCATTCTTTGTGTCCCCATCCAGCAAAGCATGGGTAGAATTGCTCCATTGTTTCTTTAAGCAGTATGTGGGGTGGGCAAGTAATCTTAACATTGTCCTGTCTCACCAAGAACCTTCAATGATTCTCTAATTCTAATTGGAAGCCCAGGTATGAATATTCATCCTCAGGAGTGAGTGAGAATGGTTTTATGCCGCTTTTAGCAATATTCCAGTAATATCACAGCTGGGGACACCAGATCATCCTCAGAAAGGAGAGGCCATAAGAGGTGACTTACTAATCAGGAGGTCAGATTAGGTGACATGAGCTGTCATCAAAACCCAGTGGTGTGGATTGTTGTTTGTGATGTCAATCACCGGCTTGTCTGGTCTTGACTCAGTTGTTTCCACGCATGCTTCAGATGCCTGGGATATTGCAGTGTGTGGCATTAAACAACCAACACACAATGGCACAACTCGTGTGTACGTCATTCAGCATCCTGTACATTGAGCATTAAGAGTGAGTGAGTGAGTTGAAGTTTTACATCACATCAGCATTGTTTCAGCCATTTTGTCTGAATAAAAATTTTAGTTAGACTGGACATTGAAGACAGTCTTTCCTGAATCAGTACAGAGTTGAAAAAAAGGATTATATTTTGAGAGGCATGAAAAGTGTTACGCTATTTATAATATTTGATAAGTTTTCAGGTTAAGAACTGTTGATCCCTGCATTGTCTGGTCAAGACTCGGTTATTTACAGACCACCGCCATATAGCTGGAATATTGCTGAGTGTGGCGTAAAAATAAAATCACTCAGATCAAGAATCACTGTAGGCTTAACCCATAAGGATCTGGGTCAGAATCTGTCTTCAGCAACCCATGCTTGTTGTTAGAAGCAACTAACAGAATCACTCACTTGGTTGACACATGTAATTGTATCCCAGCTGCATAGATTGATGCTCATGCTGTTGATCACTAGATTATGTGGTTGACAGTTATTTACAGACTGCCACCATATACTGTAGCTGGAATATTGCTGAGTGCGGCGTTAAACAACAAACCAACCAACTAACCAAACCAACCACTGTGGCTTTGTTGTCTAGCAATGGAGGGACATGACAAAATTCTTCTTTGTACACTTTGAGTGAATAGAGATCTCTGACCCATCCTCCAACTCCCCAGACAAAGGATAGAATATTTAATGTACCGCACCTGCTCACATGTCTGTAGGTTGATGTAAGCATTTGTACATGTCTGCCAGCTGGCCGGCAGAGATGATGTCAATGAAACGTAGTTTCAGTATACACCCATTAGCAGCTGTGATCTAATGGATGTAGGGAAATAAGATCTGCTTTTTATTTCAGAATTTAACAAAGCTTCTCCCAGTTTTGTTTTTGATATCCTTTGATGTCATGAAATAGTAAAAGATTGTTACGACCTTAATCAGTTTCACCAGTGATAATATTGGCTCTTAGGAAAAACACTCAGCCTAAAGTTTATATAGGAACAAAGCTATTCATAGCTTTATGTGACATTGGTTTTTGTGCAGTAATTGTGATACTTACTCTAGTACAGAGTTGTATCCCGTGCATACCCAAAACCTGGGGATGATCCAAGTTTGTCCTGCTTTCTGCATTGTGAGTGAGATATGTTTTTACGGCGCTTTTAGCAATATTCTAGTGCAGCGGACAACAGAGATGAGCTTCACACTTTGTACCCATGTGGGGAATTGTACCTGGGTTTTCGGGTGATGAGCGAACGGTTTAACCACTAGGCCCCCACCCCACACCACCAGTGACATCCATAAATTCTTGCCTTTATGTCCATTCTCATGGGTTTCTCAAAACTGATAAATGCCAAGACCTGGATAACTTTAAGCTCTCCTTGCCATCAAGCTGATATCCCCAAACTGTGATTCTGTTAAAGAGGTGTTGAACCAAATTTACCTACAACTTGCTATGGTGTAAGCATGGTTCGTTGTTCTGGATCATTACTGCATGTTCTGAAATCAAAGACAAATATAATGGTCGGTTGATTTGTTGTTTAACACCATGCTCATCAATATTCCAGCTACATAATGGCAGTCTGTAAATAATCGAGTCTGGACCAGACAATCCAGTGATCAACAGCTTGAGCATCAGTCTACACAATTGGGATACGATGACATGGGTGAACCAAGTCAGCAAACCTGACACCCAGATCCCATTAGTTGCTTCTTACGACAAGCATGGGTTCTTGAAGACCAATTCTAACTCGGATCTTCACAGATGACAAATATAATGAATTGGAAACCTAATAATACAAGCCAAAGATAGAAAAAGTTCAAAGGCTTCAACGGTGCATGGGTGGTGGGTGGTAAATACATCCAGTACAGTATATTTGAAGTGATGCCGTGTCACGTTTCTCTGTCTGTATGTATGTTGCACTCCAGACTGGCTTCTCATTAGGGATCTTGTTTGCGATAAGAAAATTGGAAATATTTGAAATATTAATTGTCTGGTATTGATTGTCTTGTGCATTTGAGTTGCCTACCTGCAAATATATACAAGTTTGTTGGGGAGACGAGGCTCCATTAGAAGATTTAGATGAGATTCTTCACAGTAAGGAAAAGTACATGACTGTGACGCTTTCTAAAGTGTACAGGCATGCTGTGGTGCTTCATTCCAAAAATACTTCCAGTTTTTGGCAAATTTTGTGAATTGCATGTGCCACTAGTAAGGCACTGGGCATGCTTACCCTTTTTGTAAACACCTGTTTTCCCTATACACTGTACAGGATTTGTTTTTGAGGATAGTCAAGACTGGGTATTCCTGTGCACTCACATTGTGTCAAACGTAATGGGACATACATTTATACTTTAGGTTATCCAAGGGGGCGGGGGTAGCCTAGTGGTTAAAGCGTTCGCTCACCACGCTGAAGACCTGGGTTCGATTCCCCATGGGTACAATGTGTGAAGCCCACTTCTGGTGTCTCCTGTCGTGATATTGCTGGAATATTGTTAAAAGTGGCGTAAAACCCAACTTGTTCACTCGTTCACTTGCAACTGAAAAATGAAATACAGAAATAATATGCGCATACCAACAATATGATGAGACAAGTGTATGACAGTATATTTATCTTCTAGGAAATGTTCATTGTTAATGAATACATAAAACAAATGTTTGTTTCAAACTAGAATTTTTCATCTATATGTTTTGTAAACTGTTCAAAGTCTTTTCACTTACTGATGATGTAGGTTATATCCTAGACTTGCACAAGTCTCTAATGTGATAATTAATAGTTTAAATGATAATTTCTAAAAAAATATATAAATAACAGATTGGGGTCCTAAGTCTGTCTGCTTATCTAGACTTACCTCTTTAAAGGATAGAATTACTTTTCCATCCATGGGCTTAGCACTCAGTAGAGCCTTGGAGCAAGGCTATCTATATCCCTACTGTATATGGTCTCTGTGGCTCTGAGTCAAGGTCTGTGGATATATACCAGGACAATAGGTGTTGACATGTAAGACAGTGCTTAATTATGATGCCAATGCAAATGTGAGATGAAGGTTGACTTGGCCCTGTCATGCCTATCTTATTTGATTATATCAAATTTCTCTGGATAGCTGTATAAACTCTTGGCATGTTCATATTGATTTCCTCTGTGACACATTAATGTGTTCTTTGTAACACATTACCGTTGTTCTCTTTAACAAATTAGGGGCGGTGGGGTAGCCTGATGGTTAGAGCGTCCTCTCGTCACGCTGAAGACCCGGGTTCCATTCCCCACATGGGTACAAAGTGTGAAGCCCATTTCCGGTGTCCCCCGCCGTGATATTGCTGGAATATTGCTAAAACCGGCGTAAAACCACACTCCCTCACTTTAACAAATTACTTTTTTTGTAACACATTACTGTTGTTCTTTGTGACTCATTACTGTTCTTTGTGTCACATTACTGTTGTTCTCTGTGACACATTAATATTGTTCTCTGAAACACATTACTGTTGTTCTTTGTGAGAGATTACTGTTGTTCTCTGTGACACACTACTGTTGTCACCCATAAAGATCCGGGTTAGAATATTGGCCTTCAGTAACCCATGCTTGTCGTAGGAGGCGACTATCGGGATCGGGTGGTCAGTCTCGCTGACTTGGTTGACGCATGTCATCGGTTCCCACTTGCGCAGATCGATGCTCATGCTGTTGATCACTGGATTGTCTGGTCCAGACTCGATTATTTACAGACCGCCGCCATATAGCTGGAATATTGCTGAGTGCGGCCTAAAACTAAACTCACTCACCCACTCACTTACTCGCTCATTACTGTTGTCCTTTGTAACACATTACTGTTGTTCTATGTAACCAGGCTGGTTGCCCTGGAAGGTGCTTTATAGTACATTGCTGCTCACAATATTTGGTGTTTCTTCATGAGATATGCTTGTTTACCTTTGAAGTACTTTAATTTCAAACTATGCTTAAGCACCAACTGTCTCTTGGCCTCCCATTGCAAGGTCTCATTCCTGCTAAAGTGTAAAACACTCACTCACTTAATGATATGATATAGAAATTTTGAAAGGGTATTATTTATTCAAAATATCCTAGCTATGTAATAATAAACTAACCTTCACACAGGCCAAAATGACATTGTTATGTTTTTTCAAAATGCTCGTGTCCTCATTGACAGTTCTGTTTGTTTCTATTTTGGTTTTAATCTTTTTACTCTTTTCTTACAAGTACAAAATCCTCAAGTCACCATGTTTATTCAAATGTATGTGCCCTAAATACTAGCAATAATGCCAGCATCTGTTTTGTGAACCTTTATGCAGTTTGATAAGCAAATATCTCTTATGTATTTGGCTAAAAGGAATGTGTTTACAAAACCACTCTTTTACTGAGATAATGCCAGCACACTTTAGGGTGAAATATGGTTTCAGTGTTTTTATTCACCACTTTCCTTGACACAGATATTAAAAAACATTTTCCAATATCTTTTGAAATTTGATGAAATATCAACCAAATCCTTGAGTGGTGTTGTTTGCATTTTAGAAATTGTAAAATATTTGAGTTTTTCACTTTGCTTTCAAGGCTACTGGGGCAGGTGCCAAGAGGCGGTGATGGCATGGGCTCTCTCTGGAGGCCCAGAGCAATGCATAACATTTAGAATTTCTGTGAATTAATAATATAGAATTTGAAATTCCATCTACACGATGGCTACTGATTAGGGGGAATTTGTGTTCAGTTCCCCAGTATAGGTCATGAAGTCATGTGAAAGAAAACGGCAGTATGGGTTTGGAAACAGGCTGAACTCTTCAGTAGAATGTTTGTATTAATTATGTTTGCAGTAAAACAAGGAACAATAAAATGTGGCCTTTACTTTAAACTAAAAAAATGCAAGCAAACATTAGATGCTTTCTTTTTTTAGATAAACCATTTCTAAATATTTGCACTCTACACACCTTATCCCTTTAAATGACTGGCATTTTCAATTTCATTATTTGTTTTTGCTTTCAAAGGCAGTTTTTG